AAATTCTGTCCCTCTTTATCTTGTTCAGAAGAAAGAGATCTGAGAAAAGACTGAATCCATGGTTTGTCTACAGGCTCAGGAGTCACCTCAACACCACAGGCTCTCAAATTGCTCTGGATTGTTTTACAGAGCCCCAGACTGGGGATTCTACACCAGGGATTCTTCTTGGGTGGAGAGGATAAAATCCAGTGGGATTTTACCAACTCAAGTGCTGGGAAGGAGTCATAAAAGGTGTATGCCTAGAACCCTCTGTTTCTAAAGATGAGATCTGCCCAACCTCTGAAAAAGGAATGAAATCAGTTTAAAAAACAGGTTTTGATCTTGCAAATGGGACAAGATTAGGAGAGAATGGAATAAAGTGAAGGAAAGCACACCAAGGAGGAGAAGAAAATTTGAAATCATATTAGCCCAGTTAGAAATCTATGACAAGGAAAAGGAGCTATATCTAAACATAACTGCTCTAAAGAGATTAGAAAAGCAGAAATATTTACTAGGTCAGGGAAATGGCTGAAAATCATCAAAGAGAAGAATAAAGGGACTATTTTGGAGAACAAACTAAAATGACTCCCCTAAAAGGATACCCAGAGTCAGGTATTATTCTATCAAAAAGGATCCTCTTACAGTTTTAAATAGGGAACCCAGAGTAGGCATTAATGGAGAACTCTTTAATAACTGGAGTTGTGGTGCTATGTAGTTACAGAAAATGTGGACATATTTAAAAAGAGAAATACTAGAAGGATCAGTGCAGAATTCTTCAGGTATCATTAAATGAATTCCAAGATGGCATTGTTCTTACAGATGAAAGAGAGGGTATAGCCCAGGCTATAAGGAAGCCTGCCTGGGAAATGCAAGGATTTAGAATTTGAAAAGAAGGAACAGAAAAGCAGAGAAATGTTAAGGAGGATCCAGGGAGCATAACCCTTGATCAGGGCTGAGGTTATAGGCTAAACTGAATAAAAATAAATACCTCCTAACAAAAGGGAAGGTTGGCAGAATTTACCTGAACACTGGGTGAACCGTGGCACCATTCTTGCTCTATAGAGACCTCACTGGCAGAATCGAAAGTAATATGTTAGGAGAACAAAAATGTAAGTATGAAAACAAAAAGCAAATACAGAGAAGGAAAGTACTAAGACCGAGCAAAAGGTATTAGCCAGGCCTGGGGAGGAAGGAGGAACAGAAACAGCTGGCATGGAAGGTTGAAAGCTTACTACTCAGCTGGCCTGCCGGAGCAGTAGGAATACTTAGAAGGACCTGGAACACTGGAGGATTATCTCTCCCGATGCAGAAAAGGAAATGGTGGCAGGAAAGAATGCTTCAGTTCCCATCAAAGAAGCACAGGCAGTTCAAGTCTCAGAAGTTCAGTTCTAAGGAAAGGTGGGGCTTGGGTGAAAAACCACTAAAACTAGGGGACTTCCTAGACCTCATTAGACCAGTGAAAACACAGGTTCCAGAAACTCAACAGCAGCTCAAGGATCAGCTGAGGGTGATACTCCAGGGAAGACAAGGGAAACCTCCTAACCAGGAAGCAGGACTCAGAAGCAAGGCATTCAATAATAGGAAGGCACGCCACTCAGAATTAAAGCAATACTTAGGATCTTTCTGGGGATAGAGAAATTCTGAGAAAACAGCAGGAAGGTGGGAGTGTGAAGGAGGCAGGCATGCAAGACAATGCACTTCTTTTTTTTTTTTTTTTTAGTTAAATATGAGCTTATTGAAGTACTTTTCTCCCCATTTGGTATGTTCCCTCCTTTTTATTTGTTGTGGTATAATTAATTTACAATGTTGTGTTAGTTTCAGGTGTACGATTCAAGTATACAATTTTACATATATATCTATTCTTTTTCAGATTCTTTCCCTTATAGGTTATTACAAGATATTGAGTAGAGTTCCCTGTGCTATACAGCAGGCCCTTGTTGTTTACCTACCTTATATACAGTAGTGTGTATAGGTTAATCCCAAACTCCTAATTTATCTCTCCCCCTGCCCCCCAGCTATCCACCCCCCCGGCAACCATAAGTTTGTTTTCCATGTCTGTGAGTCCATTTCTGTTTAAGACAGTGCATTTCACTTGAAGAGCTTCCTACTATAAATATGGGATGCCCTGCTCACAAAGAAAGGAGGCTCTTTCACTGCACAGATCAAGATCTTCAGCAATGGTGGAGGGTAGGTAGAAAAAGGGCTCAAAGGAGACATGAAAATAAAAGGTTCTAAATACTCGGGATAGACACCAAGAAAGACCTGGAACCACCATTGGCAAAGTTCCAAATTTTTCAAAAAGCGTAGATTTCCTTCCCCCACAACAGATGGGAAGCCTGGTGTCAGACTGAATCCAATAACCTCAAAAGAAGAGATTTCCCAAATTAAGTTGAAATTCACAGGGGGTGGACTTCGGACAGCTGAGTAACCTATAGAGGCTGTCACATCACATGCTAGATTATACGCACTACTGATAATCTGGGGTCCACATTGCAAAGGAGGAGGTAACGACAGTCTCACTTTCTGAACTTGACACCATGGCCCCCGCGTTATACTCAAGCTAGAGACCTCATCTCCCACCACTTTCTCCAGCTCACTCTGCTCCAGCCATGCTGGCTCCCTTGATGTTCCCAGAACATGCCAAGAACATGCCTGTCATTTTGTGTCCCCCCTCACTTCCTTCAGACCTGTGCTTACATGTCTCTTTATAATAGAGGCCTTCCCTGACCATCAATTGACACTCCCTTGGCCAAGCTTTATTCTTCATCTTACCACTTAGCCCCACCTAACATATATTTCCTTACTTGTTTATCTGTCTCCTCTCCAACCTCCTGACTCCAACCCCATGACAGCTGAGTCTGTTTTATTGCTGCTACCTTGTCAGCTATCAGAACCTGCCTGACACACAGTAGATAAGAAATGAACACTTATTAAACAAATGCATTTACACATCCATGGTATTTGAAGTTTTTGCTCACGGTCCAAGGTTGAAAAAAGCAAGGTGAGTCCAGACCGACTTACGTACTAGGTTCTAGGAACAAAATTTTCCCTTTTTTCTTTTTAAGCACTAAATATTTAGTAAAAAGCAGTAGATGTACTGATTAAAAATGAGGGCCCTGGAGCCAGAATGCCTGTATTCAAATCCCAGGTGCACATCTCACTCAGTGTGTGATCTTGGGCAAGTTGCTTAACTTCTCTGTGCCTCATGATCCTTAATCTGTAAAATGGGAATAAAATAATGCCTTCCTCAAAAGGTTGGGTAGGTTTGGATTGACCGAAGGATAGCACTTTGAAAAATGCCTGGACATCCTCAGTGCTCAGTAAACAAAGCCAGTATCGTCATCATCATTATTAAGTACTAGGAACCGTTCTAAACATTTTACTTGCAGTACGTCACGTACGAATCACTCGGAAGGTAACTGAGGCCCAGGTGCAAGAAGAACGTATCTAAGCCATTGGCTTTTCTTTTTTAATTGAGATGAAATTCGCACAACATAAAATTAACCACTTTAAAGTATACAATTCAGTGATGTTTAGTACATTCACAGTGCTGTATAACTATCACATAACTTTGCTTTTCTAAGTTTTGTATCTCTGGGACTCATGTTGAGAAATGGGACAATGAAACTTGGAACAAGATTAATTCAACTTTGGAGGTACCTAAGAAGTAACATCTACTACAAAAAAAAAGATTTATAGGATGTAACAGTTAGAACACACTCGCTGTCTCAGGGAGGCCACTCTAATGGAGGCTTAGCAGAGAAGGCACTGGGGAGGAAAGAACCTGGGACTTGAGTGCCTTTACACGTTAATTTACAGGGAGAGGTGGGTGTTATTTTTAGACTTTAATTTCTCTGAGGATTTAATAATTGGAGGAAATGCATATTCAAATTGTGAGCATTATTCTGTAGCCAGAAATGTATGTGGGGGCTAGGTTTATGCTGTCAGGAGGTCTTCATCGTGCAACCTCTGCTGATACAAGGCACAATCTGAGATGAAAAATACAATAAAGAGTGAATTTTCAGCCTCCGGTGCTGCATGGCCCTCATTTGTGTCTACTGCATTTCAGAGCCTTCCAAGTACAAAGACCAACGTGCCCACTACTGACCCACAAAGATCAGTCGGTGAACAGGATAAAGGCCTCAGGAAGGTAGGAGCGAGACCTATCTTATTCTACTGTTTTCTTTCAATGGTTTCCCAGAAATTTGTCCATTAAACCCAACTGATGAGGGACTTCCCTGGTGGCACAGTGGTTAAGACGCCATGTTCCCAACGCAGGGGGCCCAGGTTCCATTCCTGGTCAGGGAGCTAGATCCCACATGCATGCAGCAACTAAGAGTTCGCATGCCACAACTAAGGAGCCCGTGAGCCACAACTAAGACCCAGCACAACCAAATAAATAAATAAATATTTTTTTAAAAAAAGCAACCCAACTGATGAAAGAACAAAAGAAATGGTAGAGACTTCTGCATCCCTCCCCACCAGGGAGGGCTGTGGAGTTGACAGAGCCGCCTCTATTTGGCTTCCTTGCAAGCAACAGAAGGAGCCTGACCTGCTTTAGGTCACTGTTCTCTGTGTCAGGTTAATGTGCTCGTACGGCGCTGTCAGGTGGCCTCCTTGTCCTACCCACGTCCAACACACTGCAGCTCACATTTCTGATCTCCTGGAAGTTAGTTCTAGTCGCCCATAATGACTACCCTTAGGGTTCAGCTGTCTTAAATTGGAAGTGAGAGATAGGAAGCCTTACAGTATTCTCAATCCATCACTCCTAGGAATTCCTGAGTAAAGCAGTCCACTCCTGGTCTGTACCATCTCTGAGCCTGAACCCAAGTGGGAAAGGGGAGAGGTGGTAAGATTCAGGGACACTGTGCCCCAGAAAACATTGGTAGTTTGTTAGAACTAGAACCCAGGTTTCTTGACTCTGAGACTATCACTCTTTATGCTGCCCCATGTTGTACAGTTCAATACACATATTTAACTTGTTGTCTTAAGATACCAAACAGAAAGACATCTACACCCACCTGCTGGTGCGGTTGTCATTGTTATTTGCACTGAGTGCTGCTCGGGAGATCCCAGGAGGGTGACATTCACTGTGTACTCAGTTGCTGGATACAGATCTAAACACACCACTGCAGTTTGTTCCCTCGTTGTGAAGTTAAATGATGTTGCGTGATAAAAATTATTCAGATACCACCTTTGACCTAGAACTTTAAACTGTCGTGAGATTAAAAGAAAGTGATGCATTAAATTCATTTGGCTTGCAGATGTCTAGACTATAAGCAAAATGGAAAGAAAGCAGGAAGGTTCCTTCTACTTGTCCTCACCCACACAGAATTATTTTTAATACAATAGCAGGCTAAACTGGACAAGAACTTTACAAAGCTACCCTACGTACCCTATTCAACCTCCCTCTCAACCAGCTATAAGACTAAGCTTAAAATGCATAACTACATCTCAGATGGACAAAGTGTCAGGCTATTCTAAAGTAATCCCTTGAGCCTTCCCAGGTGAAGGAGACTGTACTGGAGTTACTGGGCAAAATTCTTTTCATTGTTTTTCATTCATAAGGAATCCACAGACAAGCCTCATGGAACAGACTTTTTACACTGTATGAGGACTACCCCAAATTATGCATGCAAAGCAACTGAGTCATGGTACTTCACTGGAGCCTTCCTATTAGAGTTCTGGAAAACAGTTCTTGGTCCACAGAGTCATCACACACACTGGTAACCCAATAGTGATCTAACCACTGCCAACTCAAGATGTATGTATAATGTAGGGATTTATAAGAGAAAAAAACAAACAAACATGTGAAGGTCCCGTAAGCAATATGATCATCCCTTGATCAATCAATGCGTTTTAGCTGGATGTACATGTTTTTAGTGTTTCCTTTGATGCTTGTGTCATTGGCTATTCCACCCTCTACCCTTCCTCATCACTGTCATTCTTCCACAGACATCCAAGACCCTGGCTCATTTGGGAGATTCCTCTCTCCCCCAATTCCTAGCATTCTCTTGGGTAACATAAAGGTCCTTATAGGCAAGCCATCAAAACTTGGCCTCAGAGTTGCTTGGGTTCAGTGCTGTGAAGTTCCTCCACTCTGCTTCAGCTACCCACATCCACCGCCACATCCTTGACTGTCATCCTCTGAGCTGCTCCACCAAGATCTCACAATCTCTTGCTCTTCTGGACGACGCATTCCCACTCAGTCTGATCTCTCTCAGGAAATCCCCCAAGATTTCCCCACTCAAGATTTTCTACCACTATTTTAACACCCCCATCCTCATCTTCCCACCTATCTTGGATACCATTGTCTATCACTTCCACCATTCCCTTTGCCTGATACCCTCAACACCCTTGCCGCTTTGTTCTCAATTTCACCCATTCTTGAAAACTCAAAGCCCTGGGGCAATCCAGATGTTTGACTTCACCACTTCTGCATTCAGACTGCTGCCCTCTGCTGGAGAAAAACCTCACAACTATGGAGGCTGCATTTCTATACAAAGTCAGTGTCATCCTAAACTACATGTAGTTCAGTCTATAAACAAAAAATTACTTTCTAGTTAACAAACTTTGGATCACACTGTCTGTACGATTTTATAATATAGTCCTTTTACTTAACAACATATTAGAAAGTTTTTCTCTATCATTAATTCATTCTGTAAATAGACAGACTGCCTATTATTTACCAGCCAGAGTATACAGAGTTGGTTATACAATAGTAAATAAGATACAGGTCCTAACCTCAAGGAACTCACAGGTAAGTATCTAGGCAAATAAAATACCCAGGGATAAGTGTTATAATACATGAAGCTGGAGGAGTACATGAAGCTGGAGGATCAGGGAAGGTTTCCTCATCTTAATTGTGGACCGAAAGAGAAATTAGCATTAACCAGGTGAGTTGGGGATGTGAAAAGTAAGGGTAGGAAAAACAATTCAGAGCAGGGACAGCGTTTGGGGGAGGAGGTCAGTGAAGGCCTCCCACCAGGGAGATGACTGAGCTGAGCACTGAAGGACGAGCAGGAGTTATCCAGGTAAAGGAGGGAAGGGCTTTGCAGGTAGGAGAGTCACCTATGTGAAGACACAGTGCTAAAGGGAGCACAGGAGCCTTTTGGGGGGTACAGGGCCCAGAGCTTAGAGAGCAGATTAGCCCTAAAGAAATTGATTTAGGAGTCTTCAGCATGGAGATGGTCAAGAGAATGGGTAAGACAACCAAAGACGGGTATAGAATGACAAGAGAACAGGGAAGGCACAACCTTGGGGGTAATCAGATTTAACTTGTGAAAGAGACTGAGAAGGCTCAGACCAACAGGAGAAAAAGAGACCATTTCAATGGGAATATTGGTCCACAGCAACAGATGTTGTCCAGTGGGAAGCAGAAGGTATTTCATGTCTGCATAGTGTTCTATCCAATAAATGTATGATTATTTATTTAACCAAATCCCTCTTGATGGACACTTGTTTCCAATTTCCCCTATTATGAATAAAGCTTCGGACAACAGTTTAATCTTTCTGTATATGTTTGAATCATTAATTATAGTACACTTGTGGAAGTTTAAGGATCCTAACAAATAACTATTCCAGAAAAGTCATGCCAATTTAAGGGCCCACGGCTGGCTGTGTGTAGTAATACTTTCTCCAGGTTTACAGAAAAATCATGGTGTCTCATGATTTAAAAATTCTTTTCATGTGTGTATTCATGTGTGTTTTGGCAGTATCTATATTCTCTTTTGCAAACTGCCTTTGAATGTTCACTTCCTTCCAATGGATTTGTTAAGAGTGTTTCACATGTTACTTAAATTAACCTTTGTCTAACATATTAAAAAATAGCAATTTTTTTTCAATTGAACTCTTTAATCATTTTAGTGTAGGACATGAAGTGAGAATCATTTATCTTCTTAACCAAGTAGTTAACCAGTTGTCCCAGAACCATTTATTTCTGTACCCATTCGAAAAATCATCTTTGTTTTATATTAAGTTATTTGGGTACCTGAATATATTTCTAGGTCCAGTGTTCTTTCCAATATTAAAATTTGAATATTTCACTCACCTGCTTAAAATCCTCCAGTGCCTCCATATAGACATAAAAAATAAGATCCAAGCTTAAAAGTATGGGATACAGGGATGATCACTATTCAGATTTTTGCCTCATCTCCTCCTACTCCCCCTTGCTTTCTCTGTTCCCCAAGAAAGTCACATTCTCAATTATCCAATAAGCTACTCGACTTACCCACACTGCCCTTCTTCACCTCATCCAACATCTTTTATCTGGTTAATTCCTACTTACTGTTTATGACTCTGCAATGTTTTTGTTTCTTGTTAAAAAAATTGTACCTGGACATGGGGACTTCCCTGGTGGTCCAGTGGTTAAGACTCCGTGCTCCCAATGCAGGGGGCCCAGGTTTGATCCCTGGTCAGGGAACTAGATCCTGCATGCTGCAACTAAGACTCAGTGCAGCCAAATAAATATATATTTTTAAAAAATTGTACCCGGACATATATACACATACATACAGTCTCCTATTCCATTTATTTACTTTTTATCAAAGCTCTCATTACACCATATTGTAGTTGTCTGTTTACTTGTATGTTTATATTAGTTCGAATAGAACTTCCAGGTCCTAATACATGATATTCTTTTGGTAAATGGCTAATGAATTAATTCTAATTTAATACTTACTTAGTCTACTCTCTGTCAGATGATTTGCTAGGCACTAAAAATGATACAAAAATAATAAATTTCAGTTCCTGCCTGAATATACTTATAATTTTACTTGAGATTTGTGATGTTTATAAATTCAAGTTAAGTGAGGACCAAGAGCCCTGCAATAAGTTTCTTAAAAACCCACATCCGAGTGTGAATTTGATGACAAAATAAGCTGCAACTATAAATGAACCAAAATAAAATATAAGACATGTGAAATACCAGACAGAGAAAATGAGAGCAAATCACCCAATAGTGTCTTCCTTCAATTTAGTCCCTCACTTGCAGCCATCTCTAGAAACAAAAATCAAACAATCTAGAAGTTCATTCCATTAGTGTTTTTAAATACTCTGGATCCCCACTTGGAGAGCACCCAAAGTTTTAAGTGACACAATTCATTAACGAATAGCATAAGAGATCTTCTTACTTGGTACATTCGTTCTGATCCAACTTTCTTAGAATGCCTGTTCAATTTCAAACAAGCTTCATTAAGTACTGAAATATTGAAAATCCTGTCATCTTCTAAGAGATCATCACCTAAAAGATAAGAGAGAACACAGGGAAAGGTTACATCTTCTTAGCAAAACATACCATGGCCAAGGACAACTGAAACTCTGAGAGCCAACAGAGTGTTTAACAGCAGAAGCATCAAATCTGGCTTCAAGTCCTAGCTCTACAACTTCTTAATTGCATGACCTTAGCTAAGTCACCTAAGCCTTCTGAACCTCAGTTTCCTTATTTGTGGAATCAAGTAATCAGGTTTGCTTTTCTTATACTATAGGCTGTTGAATCAAATGAAATAATGCATATTTTAAAACTGTTGTAGGGCTTCCCTGGTGGCGCAGTGGTTGAGAGTCCGCCTGCCGATGCAGGGGACACGGGTTCATGCCCCAGTCCGGGAAGATCCCACGTGCTGCGGAGCGGCTGGGCCCGTGAGCCATGGCCGCTGAGCCTGCGCGTCCGGAACCTGTGCTCCGCAACGGGAGAGGCCACAGCAGTGAGAGGCCCGCGTACCGCAAAAAAACTTGTAAACTAACAAGGCTGTGAGATTTTTAGAGAGTTAATTCAATCACTTGGATGGTCCATAAGTAAAATGTCATGAAGGTAAGTATATCAATAGCCAGAAAGTCTGAGAATAAGGAAAAAGCTGAATAAAAGTCAAAGGTCAGGGATTAGAACTCTCAGAGCAGGTGTTTCCAACCTAGAAGATGACCAGAAAGTAGATGACCAGGCAAGATGTTTATTCTCACAGCAGACAGTATTTCAAGAGCTACTCAGATGAGGCAATGAAATAATCAGAGAGCTGATATATTTGCATTGCTATATAGAAAAAAAGTCATTTCATGCCTCCTGCAGCCTAATTCATTCCTTTGATGTTCTATTTCCTTAATACAGGAAATGAAAAAAAAAGAAGAAGAAGAAGAAAAAATTTGTTACTAATGAATTAAAGAACCCACAGAGAGTCTAGTAGTACCATGGCTAATTTTCAAGGAAAAGCAAATTTCCTAACAAACAGGTCTGTGCATTTTCTACAAATGAGAAAAAGTTAAATGTCTACAGAGAGAAGCTTTTTATTACTATAAGGTAGTTATATTTCTCCCACGGGAGTCTTTGCTACCTAAGAAGTAATAATGATAACAATAAATTATTCTACTCAAAATTGGAACTGTCCACAGCATTTTAAATATCACTGACATAGGCAGCACCAGGCAATTAGCTGTGGGAGAAAATATTCTTGGTTAGCTGTAACTGGAAAATGTAAGATATGGTTATGAGAGAGAATTTGAAGACCTATCACAATGTGCTCTCCGTTATCTTCATAGCTTTCATTTTCAAGATTTCATAAGGACACCAGAAACAAAAATTTCCCCATGTACGCACATGATTTTGAGGTATACCAAATATATGTATGTGAGAAATACCACATATAGTATATGTCTGTACACAAACAGAGCATAAAGCAGAAGTATTGTCTGCAGAGTTCCCATCTCAATATGATTTTCCCACTTATAGCCATTATAGTCTGAAAACAAAAGCATCTGGCTCCCACTTCCCACCTCCAACCCTGACAGAAGTGACTGCAAATAGTGAAAATGGGTCAAAATTTGCATCTGGGTTGGAAAGAAGGATTGACTGCCATCCATAAGGCAGAAACATGAAGATATTTCTGCTTAGCACAATGTGGAAGAGACTAGGTAAAGAAAGATGCTGAGAGCTCTAAGCAACAGGCCTTCCAAGCAAAGGAGCAGGGTTCCAAAATCTCAAAGGAAGGAATAGGGGAGGACTGGTGCCCATAGACGTAGGGGCTGGAAGCAAGGATAGCCCACAGGACTGCTCCAGCTGGAGCCATTTAGCCTGCGGGTTCCCAATCCTAAATGCACATCAGCCTCACCCAGACATGGCAGATCTAAAGTAAAGCTTGGACATCTGTGGGGTTTTTGTTTTTTTGTTTTACTTCACCAGGCAATTCTGATAGGCACCCAGGGTTATATACTCTGCTATCACTATTTCTACTTCTAATAATAATAGCCTTTCCTTAGCACAGTGGAGATCAGTAACAGGGAAGGACTTCTAAGGGGAGGCCTAGGGACCTGGAGGTTCCACCTGACAGACAACCTGGGTTGGCAAAAGGAGAGACTTGGTTCCTTCCTGCCTCTGTAGGCTATAGCACCATAATGAAGCCAGGCAATGCTGAGCTGGCCCAAGAGCTACAGCTTCACCACTGAAGATAGCAAAGTGCTCAGAAATAAAACTTGGGGCAGTAGGTTTTCTCACAGCTGCTCTCCAAAGGATACTGGATCATCCAACCAGCAGTAAATCCTTCAAGATGAGATCTGAGATAAGCATACCAATATTATCCAATAAAAAGTAAGATCAAAGGGAATGCCATCCATTTTATTATGAGGGAAATATCAAACCTAAATAAAACTTTTATCTTCCAAGGATAAATAATATAGAAAGGGAGTGGGGAAGCCCATGAAATGATTTTACAAAGAAGAAGAGGGAGATCGCGCCTAGAAGGCAAAGAATGAACACTGTTGAAAAAAAATAGTGAGCAAAATAATGGTAAAATTCAGCAACATCTGTTCTGTACTTTCAGTAAAAAAATTTTAAAGATGATTCAAACAGATTAAGGATGAGATGTAAGAGAATGTGATAGCAGAGACGAAGCTGGTTGAGAGAGGCAGAAATAAAAAGGGAACTAGAAGAGACAAAAAGAAATGAAAGTGCAACAACAGAATTTAAAGTGCATCAGAAATGTCAATGCAGGGACTTCTCTGGTGGTGCAGTGGTTAAGAATCCGCCTGCCAATGCAGGGGACACAGGTTCAAGCCCTAGTCCGGGAAGATCCCACATGCCATGGAGCAACTAAGCCCGTGCGCCACAACTACTAAGCCTGTGCTCTAAAGACCGCGAGCCACAACTACTGAGCCCGCGTGCCACAACTACTGAAGCCCATGCACCTAGAGCCCATGCTCTGCAACAAGAGAAGCCACCGCAATGAGAAGCCCAGGCACCGCAACAAAGAGTAGCCCCCACTCGCCGCAACTAGAGAAAGCCTGCGTGAAGCAACGAAGATCCAACGCAGACAAAAAATTAATTAACTAATTAATTAATTAATCTTAAAAAAAGAAATGTCAATGCATATATGCATAAATGCATATAGAGAACAAACTTGCTACATACTCACAGAAGGCAAAGGAAAAAGGCACGGATATAAAAAAAGAGAAAATAGAAGACCAATGCAGACAGACAAGGAATTCCACATAGGAGTATTTGAAGAGCAAAAACAAACAAACAAAAACAATAATCAGAGATTTAATGAAAGAAAATATTCCTAATGTGTAGATAGATTGAAATTTGAAGATCCAAAACCTCACAGGGTACTAGGAAAACTTTGTGAAAAACATTAACATGTATATAACCCATGACTGAAATTTCATGAAAGAAAGGACTCCTGTCTCATTCACTATTGAATTCCCGATGCCTAGAACAATGTCAAACACATAGTAAGTGGTCAATAAACATTTACCATGTGCATGAGTAAATGATTAAAGTCTTGAACTTTGCACATAAAGAAAGCTTCTATGATATCCAGGCTGAAAAATCAGATTGTCTACATAGGATTTTTTTTTTTAATCACACCTTCAAATTCCTCTTTCAAAACTTTAAATTCCCAAAGCCAATGTGAAATGCCACCAGAATTCTGACAACAAAGGTTTTGGCCCAAGAATTTTATCTTCAATCAAGTTCCTATTCACTTGTGAAGACAACAAAAGGATATTCTCAGATAATCCTGGGCTCAGAAAGTATCCCATTCCTCAGTAAGAAGATAGAAATCACTGTGCAGAGAGAGAAATAAAAATACAGAGAAAGACAAAGATACTTTGGTGTGAAAGAACTGGTAGTAAACACTGAAACTATTAAAACATATACCTATTTAAATAATTGTTATGAATATTGCTATAAATTAATATAAAACTGAATCCTTTAAAGATGTAGTACATGTTAAAAATAATTAAAAATAAGAAGCTGGCAATAAAATGCTGTATTAAACCAATAACATAAAGGAAGCAAAAGGGGAAGGAGTAAAAGGAAGTAAAGAATGCTAACTTCCTTATCTTACTGGGGGAGAAGTTAACATTATTTCAGTCAACACAGGCAATAAGAGAAATACACATTCAAATAGGATTTTCTTATTTTTGTTTTTTAATGTGTAATGCAGAATAAAAGCAAAATCTATACTGTCTGAATCACTGAAAAAAGAAAATCTGGGGCTTCCCTGGTGGTGCACTGGTTGAGAGTCTGCCTGCCGATGCAGGGGACATGGGTTCGTGCCCCAGTCCGGGAAGATCCCACATGCCACAGAGTGGCTAGGCCCGTGAACCATGGCCGCTGAGCCTGCGCGTCTGGAGCCTGTGCTCCGCAACAGGAGAGGCCACAACAGTGAGAGGCCTGCATACCACAAAAAAAAAAAAAAAGAAAATCCGTGCAGCAAAAAGAGAAAACAATGGACATAACAACATAGCATAAAAAAGAGAAAAAATTAAGATGACAGAAGAAAGGAAAACCATATCACAAACAACACTAATGTAAATTGCTTAACTACTATTTTTCTCAAAAAGGTTTGCAACATATGCTGTCTCCTAGAGTACATCTATAGCAATGTTATCCAGATAGCTTTTAAGAAGAACAAAAGGGGGGCAAAGGCATATCATGCAAATAGAGCACAAAGAAATCAAGAAAATCGGGGCAAAAAAAAAAAAAATTAAATAGGCTAAAGTGAGCCACTTCTTAATAGTGGAAGTTAGAATCTACAGTTAAGATATCAATCACGGGGCTTCCCTGGTGGCGCAGTGGTTGAGAGTCCGCCTGCCGATGCAGGAGACATGGGTTCGTGCCCCGGTCCGGGAAGATCCCACGTGCCGCGGAGCGGCTAGCCCCGTGAGCCATGGCCACTGAGCCTGTGCGTCTGGAGCCTGTGCTCCGCAACGGGAGAGGCCACAACAGTGAGAGGCCCCCGGAAACAAAAAAAAAAAAAAAAAAAAAGATATCAATCACGAACATAAATATCATAACATCAAAATATGTGAAACAAAACAATTAGAATTTCTAAGAGGAACTGAGAAGAATGGCAATCCAAGTAAGCAAAGAACAGTAACGACAACAAAAACAGAAGTCCTGAAAAACCTTACTACTAGAGCTGATTTAAGACTAGATCTTACCTTACAAGCAAACACTCTACCTATTATCACAAAACTTTGCCAAATAGTAAGCCCCAAGAAAATGTTGATAAATTCCCCACAAAGAATACTAAAATGTAAAAAAAAAAAAAAACTAGAAATCAACAACAAAGTGTAAATGTTAAAAATACTTTAAACCTACCACTTGATAACACACATAATTAATCCTTCAATCAATGAGGAAATCAAACTAGCAATTAGGGACTTCCCTGGTGGCGCAGTGGTTAAGAATCTGCCTGCCAATGCAGGGGACACGGGTTCAAGCCCTGGTCCAGGAAGATCCCACATGCTGCAGAGCAACTAAGCCCCTGTGTGCCACAACTACTGAGCCCATGTGCTACAACTACTGAAGCCCATGAGCCTAGAGCCCATGCTCCACAACAAGAGAAGCCACCGCAATGAGAAGCCTGCACACTGCAATGAAGAGTAGCCCCTGCTTGCCACAACTAGAGAAAGTCCACACGCAGCAACAAAGACCCAATGCAGCCAAAAAATAATAAATATATAAATAAAAAATAGCAAGTATATAATAAAGTAAAGTAAAAATAAAGAGAACATATATTAACACCCTCATAAATAATTCTTTGATCAAGGGAAAATCAGAATAGCAATTATACCATGTCTTGAAAGTAAAGATAAAGACAACATGTATAAATGCCTAAAGAATTCTGGCAAAGCTCAAATCCGGAAGGGAGAAAGAAGCACTGAAGGCTTTTATTACCAAACAGAAAATAATGGAAATAAGTTGAACTATGCATTCAACTCAAGAATTTAGTAATAGAACAATATAATGAAGTTAAGAGAACTAGGGAGAAGGAAATAATTTAAAAAAATAAGGGGAGAAATTAATAAGACAGAGAAAGAAAAACAATTAAAAAACCCAAGAGATTACTCTTTGGGGAAAACAACAGTAATAAAACAGACAACCCAAGCGAAGCAGATCAAGTGTTAAAAAGAGAGAAACACAAAACTACAAATCAAAATAACCTGGGGTTATATAATCTGTAACCCCAGAGGAGTTGTAAACAAATATTCCATGTGACATTCTGCCAATATATCTGCCAATATATTTAAAATCACAGCGAAATGGATGTTTCTTAGGAAAGTACAAATTATAAAAATTGACTCAAGAAAATGTAAGAAACATAAACAGACCCCCCAAAACATAGAAGAAACTGACAAAGTTATCAAAGAATCATCTCCCAAAGGGGTGAAACTTAAGTAATATTAAGAGCAATGTGTCCAACTTTAAGGGAAGGGGATAATTCTAAAGTGATATAAACTTTTCCAAGGTATAAAAAATATGGAAAACTTCCCAATTCATTTAAAGAGAACCAGCATAACGCTAATAATGAAATCAGATGGCTAAATGTGCAGGATAGAGAGGCGGGAATGACAGAGCTTCACAAGAGTGCATAAGGAAACAGCAAAGACAAAATTTGAGTAGATATGGAGTAAATGTAGAAACATACCTTGTTCCCAGTTGGAATAATTCAATATAAATCCCAATTCTCACTAGGTTAATTTGCAAATTTAATCCAATTCCATTTAACATTTCAGACAGAGGAAGGAGGTCTGGCGACATTAAAAAACTCAGCCATGGTCACCCAACTCTTAAGCAGCAGAGTTAAGATGCAAATCTGGGTATGTCTGACCCAAAAGGCCACGCTTTTCTCAGTGGAAATTAACTTGAAGAGGTTGAAGAGGATATTAGTAAAAACAGCTGACACTGAACAGCAAGCTCTCATTCTGACTGAACAGAGACAGATGAGTTTGGAGTCCTGGGATGCTCTTTTAAAGAAGACATATTCCTAATAAATCCACAGTAGTTTATTTTAAACTTTGAACAACTTTCTCTAGTTACTGTATTAATTTGACAATATCTTTCCCTACCTAGTATTTACTTAGAAATAAATCGTTTTGTTTTATTTATATACAAGTACCCTGAGACCTATTTTGTATAATTTCATAGTTGGCTTGATATTGTTAAGACTGGCAGACTTCAATTATTTCTGCAACATCCATGTTACTTCCCAGTTCCTAGTGGCAGCAACACCTAAAGGTTGAGTTTTCTTAATTAGGACATCAAATAGCTAGTTGAGAACTACCTCAACTCATCCAAAATAATAAATGACACCAATGGCTTTTCAAGGTTTGCTTATTAGGAGTTTAATTAGTCCTGACACCCCACAACCAGAATTATGGAAAAAAAAAAAACTTACTGTAATTGTCATGATGATATAAAAATCCATGTGATAACTATGTGCATTGGGGTTTATTATGACTTCTTGAAGCTCCTTCTTGTCCACACCTCTTTTCACCCCACATCTACCCTCCTGCATCCTAAGGCTGCCTCCCCCTCTCCACCTGCCCACTCTCAGCTCGGTTCTCCACCCCCAATCAGTCCTAGGGTCAGTTGCCATCCTGGAGCACAGCTCCTGGGTCAGCCTCCCTGGCTCCACCTTTACCATAGGCAAGAGTGAATGACTTTTGAGTTTCCTACCAAAGATAAGCCATGTGGCTACCCTCTGTTGCCTTGGATAACTGAAATGGACTGCATCATCACCTACTGTTCTCCTCTTTTAATGCCTTATTACCTTCCACGTCAACCAGAGGACGCAGCTGAGAATCAATGCATCAGTGACCATTCAGCCTGGCATCAATAGGAGAGGAATCTCTCCTACCAGACCCGCTCTGGTTCTGAGCCCTAGAGCAATTAATCCCCTGACTACAAATCTCAGAAAGCAACCGTGAACTCTCCTGACCAGTAGATTCTGAAGCACATTTTCCCACATCCTGTGCTTAGCATTTTCTAGGAGGAAATGAGACTTCACCTCCACCTACCAGCTGTCTGGAACCCAATGATGGCTGGCACAGAGCGTCTGGGAGAGGCAATAGAAATGTGCATGGTGTAGTTGGTGCCCTGGTACAGATCTAGGCACACTTTCGGGGTCCTGTTGTCTGTGGTCAAATTAACTGTCTCCTCATGAACTGTTTCCATGGAGTCCAGCCGTTGTCCTTTTATGTATATCTTTGTGAGGGGAAAAGACAAGAGAACCCACCAGGACTTCAGTTAAAACAAACAAGAGAGATTTTTGTGGTGCTGGAACCTACTCCCTTACTACTCCCTTTAATACTGCACTGCTCATCCCAGGGGAGATAAATAGGGCAAACCTCTGCTATCAGGTATCTGATGACGAAATCTGATCAGCCCAGTAATCCATAAATGCTGAGAAGCGACATAAAATGAGGAGTATCTCCAGGGAGTGCTATCCTGCACTCAAATGACCAGCGATCAATGGAGGCAACACAACCTGAGACCCGCTCACTGCAAACTGTCACCGAGGCAGCAGATGCTTCTAGGCTTGTTCTGGGGGAGTGAAATACAAGAGCTTGCAAACAAGCGATAATGATGATGCCAAATATAAATACATCCCACACACATATATGGAGGATGACAAATAGACTAAACTCAAAATGTAAAATAAAATAATCCAGATATCTTTAAAATTCTGTTCACTTTTTTAAAGGACTATGGGATTTGAAAGCTATTAGATTGAGAAGCACTTCCGGAAGCAAGTCCCTCCTACTCTTATTCCCATGGTAACCATTTCTGCCCTAGCAGGAAAAAGGAGCTCACTTTACTTACCACATATACAATCTTGGAGTTTATTCTTCCTGGGTTTATTTGCCACCTCACACAAGTGTTATTAAACACTGACACGTCATTAATTTCTATAATGATTTCTAAAATAGAAAAAGAGAGAGTCCACTCACAAAATGCATTGATGGGCTTTGGAAAAACCCTAATGGCCACCACATTAGAGGGCATGATTTAGTTTATCTGCCCAGCTGGTCTCTCTGATGATCACCATTCATGCTCTGATTCAGAAACCGAATCAGCAATTCAAGCTACCCCAGGCCAATCACCCAATTTAACTTCACCATGAGTGAGCTTGGCCCATTACCTGATTTGGAGGAAAAGGAAAGATTCCTGCTTAAGTATGGGTGAGAATTCCAACCTGTGATTGGTCTGACAGGCCACTGGATGCCACTGGTGTTCCACTCCTGTGGGATAGAAAGCGGCCCAGAGTTGAGCCCTGAATCTTCCCTGCAGTTGCACAGGTAAGATCAGCTTCCGGCTTCCTCATCCCACCCAGCTGATGGAGCGTTATTTCCAGGTCACTGCTGTTCCCAAGAGGGAAATGACACGCATCACCACATGGGACCATTCCTCGGGAGTAACCTGCTGGGGTAAACTAAGTAAATTCTCCACAAGGTCCCTGGGTACTTCCAGGGCTCCTTTAACTGAAGCTATTTAATCCTGACTTATTCGGAAGCCACTAATTTCTTCAAGTTGTTCTGCTTTTTTTTTATATATTCTGTGTGTATTTCATGTAATATATTTGGCAATGTGGGAAACAGTATTAGGGCCTCGGCTCCTGAGGTAACACAGTTTCCAATGAACCTAGTAAACCACCTAGGAAGTTGTCCAGATGGGAAGGGGGCAAGGATCTAGCTTTTTATCCATTTAATAAATTCCCTGCAGATAAGTAAAAACATTTTTACTTGCAGCTGACATACTCTTGTCTATAAAGAATCCTAAGGAATTCACATACACACACACACACACACACACACACACGAACACACACACACACAAGGCTAAGAAAGGAGTTCAGCCAGGTTGCAGGATACAAGGTCAATGTACAAAAATCAATTGCATTTCTGTCCACTAGCAAGGAACAATCCAAAAAGGAAATTAAAAAAAAAAATTTCACTTACACCAACATCAAAAGGAATAAAATTCCCTGCGGGTAGAAGTTACCAAACCATCACCTCTGGAGAAGGGAATCATCACCTCACCACACAGGAATGTCCCTCAGCCCAAATTCAAGCTTCCCCATTGAATCAGACATCCCTTGTGGATGTTCTAGAACCTCTCAGCTTCTCCTGTTCCTTGTTCCAGCCCTGCATGGGCTTTGATACCATGACCGTGTCTTGTCTCCCATGCTGGGGCTTCCCTGCTGCACACCCCAGCACATGCAACCTGGAAGTGGGGGGGAATTAACACCTCCTGGGGGACAGGAGGTACTAGATAAGTCTGCCCCTTATCTTTCTTCCCCTTGAAGGGCAGACCTACAAAGACCTCTCAGGGCGCTGTCGCACTGATGGAGCAATACTTGCAGTCAGTGAAGACCGCTGCAACAAGGCATCCTTACACTGGCTCTGCTTCCTTCCCTGCTCTACTCACCTTAGCCCTCACTCCTGCTTCCTGGGATAGCACTCCCTATTGTGAAAAAAATATAAGCCCTCTGCCTCAGGCCCTGCTTTCTGGGAAACCCAAGGTAAGACTCCCGTCAAGAAGGGTGAGAAAGATAAGTCTCCACCCCCAGAAGATGTCTCTCTTCATCTCAGCTCCCATCCTTCCCTTCTAGTAAATCTCTTCTCAGCCTCCAAGTGGGAAAGGGAGCCTGCACCTCAGGCACCTGTAGGGTTGACTAATTTCTCCTCTACTCAGAACCAATACTATCTTTAGACAGACCCTAGTCTACTGCTCTCTTTGCCTATGGAAGAGTTTATATCTTTACTAAATCATCCCTTCAGCAGCATTGCTGAGATTCTATGTCACACATTACCTGGTCTTGGGTAAGCCCAGGTCAGCTGACTATAAGTGGGAATAAATGGAGGCAGAGAGAGGAAAACAGGCAAACTTCTGGAGAGACACCAGAGGATCACCTACGGCTGTCTAAAGCACCCCTGGGTCTCTACATCAATGTTTCTCCCTGGAGCACAGATAATTTGAAATCAAAGAAATACTCCACTTGTGGACATGGGTATCCTGATAGATGCAAAGACCTATCCATTCACCTCCTTGGGTAGCATAATGATGATGTTGGCACCAGTCTTTTATCAGCTTGAACAAGCCCCAAATATTCCTGGCCCTTTCCCTCTCCACTGACCTTCAAAGCCCTAGAGTTCTAGACTCCTCTGCTCATTCCCACATCCCTCTGATACTCACCCCCTGGTCCAGAAGGAAAAGGAAACATCCCACCCCTCACCTTCTCTCTGAGTTGCCAGTAAAGCACATTTCCTTCCCACTCGGGACCTCTTTGCCACCCAAGCAGAGGTTAGAAAGGAAACATGAAAGTCTCCTTTCTTGTTCTTCCTTTTGCTCATTCACTATGACAACTGCAAATAACATCTCAAAAATGCTATCTGCCTCCAGGCTGTGCCATGCTCTCTGCACAGAGGGACCCAGATCTGATTATAGGGATGTCAGATATTTCATCCCAAGGAGTAGCATAACAAAATCCGGTTGCTTTTCCCTCCAGGTGTCTACGAATCAGCTGGAAAGACTTCGTTATAAATGTATCAGCTATTAAACATCCATATCCATGCTGCCCCTTTAAAAGAGATGACTTGGGAGGCTACGCCCTAATTCTAATAGTACCGAAAACGGAAAACATTTCTGGAAGTTCTCTTTGGAACTGACTCCAGGGCACTTTATTCACCACTGACCCTTAACTGAACGATTATCGCATGCCAAGCATCCTCCCATGCCAGGCACTGGGCTGTGACGATGATCAGAACAGAAGCCCTTCCCTCAGGAACATGGCTTCTAATGGAGGGAGCAAACATATAAGCAGAAAAATTACAACTTGATAAATATCAGGACAAAGTTGCACACAAGTACCACAGGGTATAGAGAAAGAAGCCACCAACTCTCACTGGAAGACCTGGGAAAGCCGGCTTCGTGGGGGGCATGACCTTCAGGGCTGAATGGCTGAAGAGTGAGGAAGACAGAAGACAGAACAGCAGGTCCAATGCCTGCAAGTGCAAAGGGTGTGGCAGATTCAGACAGAGACGTGTAACGTGCTGGGGAGGAGGAAAGAGGGGAAGCGAGGTTGCAGAGAGAGGAAGGGATCAGACTTGGGAAGACCTGCTCGCTAGACTAAGCGCAGGCTTACTCCGACGAGCCTTGGAGAGCTAAAAGCAGGAAGATGATGGGGACTTCCTTTTTTTTTTTTTTAACATCTTTATTGGGGCATAATTGCTTTACAATGGTGTGGGGGACTTCTTTTTTTAGAACGATAACTCTGGTGCATTTTGAAGGAGACACTGGAGGTCACAAGGAAAAAATGTGATACCCTTTACTCAGTGATTACAATACATCAAACACTGATACGTAGGTCTTTATAGATTTGATCACATTTTCCCAGCAGTCATAGGAGGCAATCATGAAATCAATAACGAGTGAACATTTATTGAGTTGTTACTATGGACCAGATAGCATGTACGGTACTTTAAATGTATCATTCATCTAATCTTCAAAATAACACCATGAATTTGACACTATAGTGTCCATTTTACAGGCCTAAGGCTTAGAGAAGTTAAGTGACCTGCCAAAGGTCACACAGCTAGTAAGCAGTGCAGTCAGGATTCAAAACTAGATCTGCCAGACTCCATAGCCCAGAGCCTTTGCACTGAAGTAGCTATTCAGCAAAAAGGTGAAAAGATGAAATCAGGGCACTGGATTTAAAACCGTGAGCAATTCTGAAGGAAAGCAATAGGAGGCAAGAGATAAGGAGTCTAGGCTGACTGCCAGTCTCTGAGCCTGAGAGTCTGAATAGATCGCCTTCTACTGTACTCATAAGAAATATAGGAGGAAGCAGACTGGGTTTGTGAGAAAGAGACGAACGAATTGTGTTTAGAACATGCTAAGTCTGAGTTCATCTACCTGGGTGAAAAAAACAGTCTTGAAGGTCATCAATGGGTAGATGGTAGTTGAATCCCTGGGTGCAGGTGACATGCCCAGGTAGGACATGGAGAGCAGGTGGCATGATAGCAGGGCACTGGGACACATGGAAACCAAAGGGGAAACTAGAGGAGAAAGGGGAATGCAGAAGGAGGTCAGAGGTTGGCTGGGAGAGTGTGATGCCTCGAGAGTCAAGGAAAGAGAAGATCTGAAGGAGTGTCTGCTTCCTCGAACGTTATCTCCCTTCCTTCCTACCAATCCTCCCGACCTCCTCGCTCCCACCCAAGAAGAGCCTGGAGCAGAACATAAGCACTGGGGGCTCGACCTCTTGCTCTTCCCTCACATGGCTCTTTCTTCCCCAGTGGAGGGCACGTGGTGCCATGATCAGATCTGAGGTCTGACTTTGGACAGTGGCAGGCAGAGCAGGTCTCTGCCTTGTCCAGTTGTAGGACGTTTAGGCTCCTCTGGCCTAAACAAAGTAGGCCCCCACAGCATCCAACTGAACTCTGCATTGGACTTTGGGGACCAAAGCCTCCGTGGGTTATAAAGTACCTTTGCTTTGCTTTAGATTCTGCATGTGGTGCATGGGTGCGTGCGTGTGTGTGTGTGTATAAATGTACATATATAAAGTTATGTATTTTAGTATTCTATTAGCATCCAGTATTTCTCTGTGGTACTCATCATGTTTGTAACTAAATAATTTTGTAATTAGTTATTTAATGTCTATCTCTCCTGAATGTAAGCTCTATGACAGCGAAGACAAGATCTATCTACCTCTCCAACCCCAGAAACTAATACAGTTGGTTGGACATAGATATTTTTAAAATATTTATCATTTGGTTGACTGGTTGAATAGATTGATAAATGTATGGATAGATAATCAACAATGCTAAATGTTGTGGAAAGGTTAAGAGGAAGGAGGACTGACACTAGACCATGGTCATTAGTGACCTTGAGAGAGAGCAACAGTGAAGTGGGGTGTTGGACACCTGATTCTCCTTCAGGAAGCTCAGAAGAGAACAGGGTGGGAGGGGACAGAGACAGTGAGCACAGACTACTCTCTCAGAAGTCCCATTGTGGTCAGGGCCTAGTCTAGTGCACTCTCTTGGTTTCCAATTTTATATCCATTTTCTCTACTTTTGAAAACAGTAAAAGGTCCTACAGAATAAATTCAAGAGACCTTAACAGAATGTCAAGCTCAATGTCATTTCTAGTATCTGCTTTCAAAAGTGATATGACCAGTCTTCTAATATGACTCATAAACTACCTCCAAAGGCAATTCCCAAATAGATTACAAAACCAACACATTTTGATAATAGCAGCATCACTGAAATGAGGGTATGGCTTCCCAAGGTGACAACTTTGAATAAATGCATGTTTGGCTATAAGAGTTTTGCTATGCTTCCTTTCTTCTTTTTAAGTCATTAGAGTCACATAAAATAGGTAGAAGAAGCATGGCTTCAAATAGTGCTTTCCTAAAACGCGTTATACACTTTAGGATGATTTTTTTGGTGGCACATGAATATATTTTTATATGTTTGCTTTGTATTGATTTTTGTGTATATTTGAAAAAGCCCAGGTGTTCATCAAACTCATGATATCACATATATTACTGTGTCCTTGATCAATAAATTTAAATTTAAAATTTAAGTTTTAAACATAAGTTGTTTTAAGAAACTTATTAAATTAAAAAATACCTTAGTTCTGGCAAACATTGTCAGGGTGGTCTACAAATAATTCAAGCTTAGGAAAGTGGCAGGAGACAGCTCGTTGCCTTTCCAGGTCTACAGGCCTGAGTTCAAATCCTGTCTCTGCCATTTACTAGTCATTGAAAGACCCTGTGAAAGCTGCATAACTTTTATGAGTCTCAGATTACTCATCTATGAAATGAAAACATCAATACTTCATAGAGTTTTTCTGAGGACAAAATGGCATCAAGGCTCCTAGCAGAGCCGTGGGTGTTTAAGTTGGTGCACGATCAATGGTAGCTATAATGCTTGACGGTCTAAACATTATGGACATAATCAAACAAATCCCAGCCATGTGGCTATTTGCATAAATGTGCCCATTTATTCCGGCTGACCTTTCTCTTCTATCTGAAATATGTCCAGCTGCAAGTGAGCACTCACTGGGCTGAAGAGGAGGATCGACCACAAAACAGAAGGGCAGGAGCTAACAGGAGGCCTGGAGGCATTTGGACTCGGTCCCTGAGTCGGGTGAGGGGCCCAGAAAGGATCCCAGCAGCCAGTCTGTGTTTCCATAGAGATGTTGCTCTTTAGAGAGCCTGGAGTGAGTGAGCGTCAACCTCATCATTATTAACTCGGATTCTAAACGTAAAAAGCCAAACGACCTGTGCAGAATGAAAGCCAGGGACAGTCTTATCAAGAATGGATCAGTCCCTTTGATCTTGAGGTAAACCAACTCACTGAACATCAAGCTTCCACCTGGGGTTTTTCCAGACACTAAAGTAATTGCCTAATTCTCAGCTCTCTGGAGTTTCCAGTCTAAACTGGCCTTAAAAAAAAAAAAAAGTCCCACCACCTTGCCGGAGTTCACACTCCATTAAAAACATATACAGATCTAACTGAGTCACTTTGCTGTACAGCAGAAATTAACACAACATTGTAAATCAACTATACTTCAATAAAATTAAATATATATATGTGTATATATATATATATATATATATATATATACACACACATACACACAGATCTGTCCTATTAATCCAAAGAAATAGGAACTCCAAAAATATTTTTAACTAACAACAACTCATGTAAAGTGAAGATAAATTATTCTACCCAATTTAGAATGAAACACTCATGTATAAAAAGATGGGTAAACAGTAATGAAAACAAAGGACAGGGGTAGAAGGCATTCACAGGTTAGGCAGAAACATAAAAGAAGATGGGGAAAAAACCCAAAAGTGAACATTGAAGGAGGTAAATACAAAATACATAGAGAGATTTGGGACAGAAGGGGAGGTGTGAAGAAATAGGTGAAAAACAGGAAAAAGAAGGAAGGGAGGGCAGCTGAGCGTGAGCCATGGTAATCAGCATCTCTCACTACAGTTCCAGAAGCCTCTCGTACCTACCTACCCAGCGATCATGTGCACTGTGCCATGAATTAATCAGCATGTAAATCGCCCCCTTTATCTGCGGAAATTGAATTTAGCTGCCAATCTTGATTGAGGGCATAGAGGCCTCCTCACAGAAAGATCACAGCCCTCAGGGAGAAAGCCTTTTCTCTCCTTAAATCAAAGCTTGCATAAACCCATGGAAACAGCTGCAGCTGGAGCCACAGACTTTGTGAACGGTGGCAGGCTGAGGTTGGTAATTATAATTAGCAGTTACATAACATGTTTGTTCTTCAAAGTGCTCTACAAGCATCAGCTAATTAATAGCTTACTATGCCCCACGCAGATCCACTGGTTTTTCACGGAGTGACTAATCCTGGTACCCCCACTGAATTCTGAATGGTGGAGGCACAGCAGCTTGAACAATGAAGCAAATGGCTGAGGGTCCAGAAGCTAGGCCCAGCTCTCTGACCAAGTGACTCCATAGGCAGCTCTGGGCCAAGACCACCTCCCCAGATGTGGAATTCAGCAACCCACGAGGCAGCTGCCTCACTTCCTCCAAATAACTCTTAGAGGTGCTGCTGGAGGTGCAATAATAGTTTGGAATGACCATCAGTCTGGTTCAAAATGGCATTAGCTCTTCTCAATGTCCCCAAGTATGAAGACTGGGACTCTGGAGTCCTTGGCGTTAGTTACAGGTTTGCCCTTGCTTCTCTGTGCAAGTTCGGCAAGTCAATGGGACCTAAGAGAAGGCCGAACTCGATCTCTGGGTTCTCATCCGTGTCTGCCCTTCCTTGTTACTATGATTGCAATCTCTAGCCTACAGCCTGCTGCAGTTGTGGTGGAGATAACTGAATGTGGGAAATGCATGGCACTGGCAGGGCCTCAGCAGCAGAGCTAAGTTCTTCATCTACTCCAGGGATGCTTTACCCAAGGCCTTCAGAGGTCCATGGTTTTGTAAAATATTATATCCGTATGTGCATTTCTTTGGAGAAAAGTCTATTTACCCTATTGCCCTGTAAATTCCAAGAAGGTAGTGTCCAGCAAAGTACCTCACACACAGTGTATGCTAAATAAACATCTACTGAACAAATTGATGGATTTCATCAAATTCCTAACCCCAAAATGGTCATGAACCATTCCTCTATGGACAAATAATCACCAGCAGTCTGCATGTTGTATTTGCTCTGGTTAGACTTTCCTATGGAAAACTTCGATTGGCAACACCCAAGACATTCTTCCATAATTCTGCTACAAAATCAAGCCAGAGACCTAGACCAAAGCGACCTAGAGATTTCACTCTTCAGAGCCAAGCAAGTTAACAGCTTGAAATAAATTCCCAGAGCCGTTCAAGACCAGGTGACAACCATTTGTCACACCCACGGCCAACCACCACAAACCTAAGAATCATTGCCTTTTCCCATCTTATTTCTTGGAGGCCGAGGTGTGAAATAAAGCATGTGGAAGTCTACACTTCTGACTCATGAGAAGATCCTCTTCAAGCAAGGTTAATAATTTCAGTAAAAGACCTAACATGTACACAGTGGTTTAAACTTCAAAATGCTCCCCATAGATTATCTCATTTGATTCCCTCTCAACAATTATTTGAGGTAGGAAAAGCAGGTTTTATTTTCTCCCTTTTATAGATGAGGAAACTGCGGCTCCGAGAGAATAATGCCTTACCTAATGACACACAGCTAACACATGGCACTGCTAGAATGTGAACTGAAGTCTCAAAACTCCTTTTCACCAGTAATTTCATTTGGGGGTATATATCCAAAAGAATTGAAAGCAAGGTCTCAAAGAGATATTTGTATACCCATGCTCACAGCAGCATTATTCACAATAACCAAAAGGTGGAAGCAACACAACTGTCCATCAATGGACGAATTGATAAGCATAATGTTTATATATATACTACAAAATATTATTCAGCCAGAAAAAAGAAGGAAATCCCACCACTGGCAGCAACATGAATGAACCTGTAGTACATTATGTTAAGTGAAATAAACCAGTCACAGAAGGATAAATACTACCTGATTCTGCTTACATGAGGTCAATTAGTCAAACTCATAGAAACAGAAAGCAGAATGGTGGTACCAGAAGCTGTGGGAAGGGGGAAGTAGGGAGTTACTGTTTAACCCGTATAGAGTTTCAGTTTTTCGACATGAAAAAGTTCTGGAGATTGGTTGCGCAACGTGAATCTACTTAACACTGAAAAGATCGTTAAGGTGGTAGATTTTAGGTTGTTCGTATTTTACCACGATTAAAAATAAACATTAAAAACCTAGATATACATTACACCACCTTCTCTCTGAAAAGCTGTCAAATGTGCTTAATTAGGACTTTTAAGTATTCCCCCCCTGAGAAAATGGCTCATGGCGAAAAATATCTCAGGCAACCAAGCAGAAGAGAGAGGAATCACTGTGATTTAAGGTGGGTTTCAAAAGATTAGATGCATAAAATTTCCTATCCAACTTATTTTCCCAATCCACCCTCTAAATCTTCAGGGTTTAGCTGACAAACCGAAAGCCAGGTACCTGCCCAGGTAAATGGCACAGCCAGGGCAGTACACAGGGTAAGCAATCGAAGGTTTTAGGTTCTGCTGTTTGCTTCCACGAGACAGGAGACCCACAGAATGGAGTCTATACCTGTGCATGACAAAGTACTTGTTCTCCAGATCCCTTTCTCTGTGCAAACAGAAGTGATCTTTCCTCCAGGGCTCTCAAAGCCCTCTTGACAGACATAGTGAGCCATACCGCCCAGTCTGGAGCTGTGATTCCCCACCAGGACCGCATGCTGCACTTCCGGAGGGTGGCCACAGTTGATCTCTGCAACGGGAAGTAGCACAGCACTTGTTATGACCGATGACTTCTACCCCATAATTCACCTTTTAGAAATAAATATTTAGCAATGATAGAGTCCAGTCATATGGGAGAAGAGAAAACACTAACCCCATCAAATAATCCAGTTGCATGTATTTAAAGTAAGATTGTTCAGAAGTAAGGAAAATAGAGATCTCTGAGTTTAATAAAATTTATAAACATGCATGTATAGAAAATATTCCAATTATGAGATTATTTATACTATAGAGAATTCCTTGGTCAATGAAATAATCCATCTCAGGGTTATTTTACATATTAAGATTTTCTGGTACCTTTTAGTATGTATCTTCAGATCATTAACTCCTGAGTAGACAATAATGCAAATGTAGTTTTTTTTTTCTTTCTTTTTTTTGCTAACTGAAGAGTAAATGAAATACATACAAAATCTCTGAACTTTTTAAAGCAAATTAATGGGGAAAGTATTTATAGTTTAAACATTCAATATATATGTACCTTTCAAAGAAAAATAAATCAGTTGCATAGAGGGAGACAAACCTGGAATTATAAAATTGACATGAAATTTCTTCTCTGCAACTCTGACTACCAGAAGACACTGGAATATTTACAGAAAACAATCTGAAGGACAAGGATTATGACATTACCATTTTAGACCCAGCCAAACTCTACTTCATATAAGAATAAAAGAGTCATTTTCAGATATTTACATTTTTAAAAAAATCTGTACATGTATCTTTTCTGGAAAAAAATTTAAAAATAACCTCAGACCAACAACAGAAAAAAAGAATCAGAATAAATGCCCTAAGAAAGGAGAAGGACAGGGCTTTAGAAGAAACACTAGTGAGTAATGAAACCAGCAGGATGTACAGGTAAGTCTCCATAATCATTTAAGTGTGACTGTAGAGCTGGATAGAACTAGCAGTAAAGAATTCTAGAACTATAGGCTGAACAATGTGAAAAAATTAATAATTTGAAAATTAAATTCCAAACTATTTCAATAAAATCTGAGCAGCGAAGTGAAGAGAAGAAATAAAACATGCTAAATTTCCCATACAGCAGTGGGGAGCTCATAGACACAATTTTATTCAAGAAAACGTAATAAATATAAAGTAACGTAGTCATAATAATTGCAAATGTAATCCAGTTATACCTAAATCCAGAAAGAAAAATACATAACTTTTGGCCTTCATTCTGATTTTTAGTTTTCTCCCCCATCTGCAGAAAGCCAAGAAAATTAAGCATTCTTGATATCCAGACTTTTAAAACATGAGTCCATTTATGGAGATAAAGCATACAAAAACAGAGAAAATGTTATGATCTCTTCCCAACTCCCCATTAACCATTCATGGCATTAGAAATATGTGGCTTCTCTTAAATGAGCTTCTGATACAGAATTGGTGGATTTACTGTAATTGTACTCTTCTCCAACCCTTTATGGATGTCTGGTCTGTTCTAGAACCCCAGAGTTACTTCCCTGAGGGAGGCCTCTTAGAGCAGGGTTTCATCTGTTGTAACTGGAGTTATCAAAAGACTCTCAATGTAACAGCTCAACCCACCTGACCAGTCACTTGGCTCTGAGATTTTTCAAAAAAGAGTTAGGCTCTGGTCAGTGCAGATGCAAATCCTGAGCAGTTATGGGACCAGAATGAGGTGGTCATTAAATAAATCCTCCAACCCTATCTATCTCTCAAGTCCCATGTTTGCTCATAGGGATTTGTTCCCTTCTCATACATGTTGACCAGACACAAGACAAGACCCTTTGGCCCTCAGAATGTTTTCCCAACATCAAACCTTTAGACATGTTTACTGGCCCAAAACATTCGTATATTTGTGTGTACATGAGCAACCAACCGAACAGGTGGTTAATGTTTCCTAAGACTGCCCAGTGATTGTTGACATCAAAAACATCTAGTTTAAGCCAGGGTTCAGTTACAGCAGGAAATTAGAGGGATCATCAGTGAATAGATTGAGGGTATAGGTTTATGCAGGTCTATTGGCCTTGAAGCTGGAATTCTAAACAGCATATTGGAGAGATATGGGAGGGAACCTGGTGACAGATAGTCGGATTAGGGGAGAAGCATAGATACTAAAGGAATAAGAGTACAGAAGATAACTAAATTGGCTCCTATATTGGACATCACCAAGAATAATGGAAGGCATGGTGGCTTTAGCTGGGACGACAAGATTTTTTTTTGGCTGTGTTGGGTCTTCGTTGCTGCACGCAGGCTTTCTCTAGTTGCGGTGAGCAGGCTCTAGAGCGCAGGCTCAGTAGTTGCGGCGCACGGGCTTAGTTGCTCCCCGGCATGTGGGATCTTCAGGGACCAGGGATCGAACCCGTGTCCCCTGCATTGGCAGGTGGATTCTTAACCACTGCACCACCAGGGAAGTCCCAAGATTTTTTTAAATTAATATTAACTTGGGGGTAGATAAGAAATCAATAGCCTGTCCTCTAGGGACTCAGGTAGATGTCCAGTGGTAGGCAATCTGGACCCAACTCTGTGAGTTCCCATCACAGAGCTATTCGAGTTGGACAGTCCCTTGGCAGGAGATATTTAGAGAGGATTCCGGCGTGGCTTGGATTAAACACATGGTTCTAAACAATAGCTATACAATCTGAATCACCTGGGGAGCTTTTGAACAAATCACCCATTTTGGAGTCTCACACACACATCCCCACCCTCACCCAGAGATAACTCTTCTGAATGAGTATTACTGAGTTGGGTTCTTGGCATCCACATTTCTACAAAGTTGCAAATTTGATTTGTATGCACACCCACAGCTGAGAATCTAAATTAAACATTGGTATAAATAGCTACCATTTAGTGTCACATGCATCCCAATAGGGCCCCAAGTATATATCATTACTTCTTACAGTAACCCTCCATGGTAGAGATTATTTCCCCCATTTTACAGGTAAAATGGCTCAACATGGTTAAATAAAACATCCTAAGTCACATAGGTAGTCATGTGATGGCTAGGAGCAGAATCCACATCCTTCAGATTCCTTCTCCTATACCCACTGCCTCTCAAGAGCAGCTCCATCTCTGAAAACCTACAGTATATGCCCCCTTTCTACCCCCTTCCACCTTGCTCATCCTCTCTCTCTCCTCGAGGTACACTCTATCTCCCTGAGACCTAGCAAAATCCTTCCCAGTGATGAATCTGCTCCATGACTAATAGAGGGATCCCTTTTTCCTCTGAACTTTCATAGCCTATGTTCATTTGTTCATTTATTCATATATTTACTGAGCACCTAGTACATGCCAGACACTATGCTAGTCACTATAGCAGAGAACAAAATGGAAAATATCACTGCCCTCGCAGAACTCAGGGGGAGAATAATTAGACAAAAAAATAAATCAACAAGGTAATTGCAGATTGTAGTAAATGTTATGTAGGAGGAAAGATAACATGATAGGATAGGAAAGACTTTTTAAATAGAGTAGTCAGGAACGGTTCGAGCTCTCTGAGGAGGTAACATCAGAGTTAGGACCTGAAGGATGAGAATGAACCAGTCATGTCCAGGACCAGAGGAAGAACATTTCAATCAATTGAAATAGCCAATGCAAAGACCCTGAGGCGAGAAAGCTCTTGATATGCTCCAGAAAGGGAAATGCAACCTGTTGGCTGTAGCACAGTTAGCAAAATGGAGAGTGGCATGAGATGAAGGTGCAGAGAAGAGCAGAGCCAGGTCACAGAGGGCCTTGTAAGCCTTAGGAAAGAGCCTGGGTTTTATTTAAAAGCAGTGGAATGCCATTGGAGGATTTTAAGTGAGGGAATGAAATAATCTGACTTAGATTTTTAAAAGACCATTTTGACTGTTGGGTAGATAAGGGATGGGAGAACAGGAGTAAAAGGAGAGGTTGGTTAGTGTCAACAGCAGTAGCCCAACAGAAAGAGAGATGAGGTCTTGGATGCACTTGAGAGGTGATGGCGGAGACGGAAAGAAGAGGATGGATTCGAGATGCATCCTGGAAGCAGAACAAGGTTCTTGGTGATAGACTGGATGTGAGAGTGACAGAAGAAGTAGAATCAAAATACTTATCTATCCTCTTCATTTGACCTTTATTTCCTCCTTGAGGATTTTGTGGGTTTGTTTTAATGACTATGTCTCCCCAAATATATGGACAGTTCCTAAAGGGCAGAATCTTTATCTTATAATCCCTTGCTTCCCCACAATGCCTACCCACGATAGTAGTTTTTACATAGTAAATAATAAACAGTTGTTCACTGGTAGCTTGCTACTACTTTATGATTGTTCAAGATGCAATATATGTTACTTCGATATGATCACAACCCATGAGGAAGGAAACACACATCAGTAAATTGTAAGTATATATAACAAGACAGGAACACATTACCTCTATATTTTGTATCCAAAAGAGGTAACATAGCTACCAGACAACAAGTAGATGAAAGCTGAGAAAGTAGAAAAACTAATACGTATCAGTCTTGTACCAGTGAATTCTGGGAAAGCTGTTTAAACTGCAATAATTTTAATCATAATAGCATGCATCAAAATCCTACTAAACACAAGGTAGTCTATTAGATATACACTATCTTATTTATTTCTCACAGAAAACCCTGCTGCAAGGTAGATGGGTTTTTCTCATGTAGTTTATAAATACAAAAATGGAGGTCCTAAGACTCTGTCACATTCAAAAATTACACCACTACTAAAAGACAGAGCCACAGGACTTCCCTGGTGGCACAGTGGTTAGGAATCCACCTGGTAATGCAGGGGACACAGGTTTGAGCCCTGGTGCAGGAAGATCCCACATGCCGCAGAGCAAATAAGCCCGTCTGCCACAACTACTGAGCCTGTGCTCTAGAGCCTGCAAGCCACAACTACTGAGTCCACATGCCACAACAACTGAAGCCCGCACACCTAGAGCCCGTGCTCTGCAACAGACAAGCCATCACAGTGAGAAGCCTGCGCACCGCAATGAAGAGTAGCCCCTGCTCGCCACAACTAGAGAAAGCCTGTG